ACCTGTCAACCTAGGATTCTATACTCAGTAGAAATAAATTTAAGAAATGAAGGCAAAGTAAAATTATTTTCACATATACAAGAATTGAGAGAATTCATCACCAGCTGAACTGCACTACAAGAAATGTTAGAGGGAATCCTTAAAGTTAGAAGGAAAGTGATGCCAGCTGGAAATATTTTCACAAAAGAACAAAGAGCACCAGAAATAGTAACTACATGGATAAACATGGAAGATTTTTTCTTAATATTTAAGTATTTTAAAAAGAAAACTGTTTAAACAAAAATTATGACAATGCATTATAGGGTTTATAACATAAGTATACATGAAATTTATAACAACAAATATACAAGTTCAGTAGGGAAGAAATAGAAGTAAGAATTAGTAAAGGTAAAAAGGGAAGTGTACTACTGTAAATTTCTTCTACAGATACATCTTGGCTTATGATGGAGTTGCACCAGATAAACCCATAGTAAGTTGAAAATATCATAAGTTGAAAAAGCAGCTGGGCGCAGTGGCTCACTTCTGTAATCCCAGCACCTTGGGAGGCAGAAGTGGGCAGATCACCTGAGGCCAGGAGTTCAAGACCAGCCTGACCAACATGGTGAAACCCCGTCTCTACCAAAAATACAAAAAATTAGCCAGGTGTGGTAGTGCACACCTGTAGTCCCAGCTACTTGGGAGGCTGAAGTGGGAGAATTCTTGAACCCTGGAGGCAGAGGTTGCAGTGAGCCACTGCAGCCTGAGTGACAGAGCAAGGCTTTGTCTCAAAAAGAAAAAAAGGCATTTAATACACCTAACCTACTGAACATCATAGCTTAGCCTAGCCCACCTGAACATGCTCAGAACACTTACATTAGCCTACAGTTGGACAAATCTTCTGGCAACACAGTACACTATGGAAATCGGTTGTTCACCATCATGGCTATATGGGCTAACTGGGAGCTGAGGCTCGCTGCTGCCACCCACTATCATGAGAGAGTATCATACTGCATATTGCTAGCCTGGGAAAAGAACAATATTCAGAATTCAAAGTATAATTTCTGCTGAATGCATATTGCTTTCATACCATCATAAAGTTGAAAAATTGTATGTTAAAACCATCGTAAGTCAGGGACTGTTTGTAATATACATGAAGTGTCATATCACTTGAAGGTAGATTGTGAAAAGTTAAAGAGGTTTGCTATAAACCCTAAAGAAGCCACTAAAATAATAAAACAAAGAGTTATAGCTAATAAATCAACAAAGGAAATAAAATGGAATCATAAAAATATTTAACCCAAAAGAAGGCAGAAAAAGAGGCACAAAGAACAGATGGGACAAGCTGAAAATAAATGGCAAGAAGATTGAACTGCAAGGAGAAATCAAGGAATTTAAGACTTCAATATTCTTCTCTCAATAGTTAATAGAACAAGAAGACAGAAAATCAGTAAGGTTTAGAAGACTTGAACAATACCACCAGCCATTTTGAACTGATCATTTATAGAACTCTCCACTGCACAAAACAAAATGAGTATTATTTTAAACCGCACAGGGAACATTTAACAAGATAGACCATATTCTGGAACGTAAATAATTCTCAATAAATATTAAAGGATTCAAGTCATACAAGGTATGTTTTCTGACCACAATGGAATTAATTAGAAATCAATAATAGATATCTGGAAAAATTCCCAAATATTTGGAACCTAAACAACATATGTCTAAATAATTCATGGATCAAAGACACCATATGGTAAATTTAAAAATATTTATGACAGGGCGCAGTGGCTCACGCCTGTAGTCCCAGCACTTTGGGAGGCCGAGGCAGGCAGATCACTTGAGGTCAGGAGTTCAAGACCAGCGTGACCAACATGGCGAAACCCTGTCTCTACTAAAAATACAAAAAAATTAGCCAGGCATTGTGGTGTGTGCCTGTAATGCAAGCTACTCAGGAGGCTGAAGCAGGAGAATTGCTTGAACCCAGGAAGCAGAGGTTGCAGTGAGCTGAGATCATATCACTGTACTCTAGCCTGGGCAACATGGCAAGACTCTATCTCAAAAACAAAAAAGAAAATATTTATGAACACATCACATATTAGACTTGCGGAATGCTACTAAATTGGTACTGAATTTCCCTATAACAATTAAAGAAAAGAAATTTGTAAATAAAAACATTTCACAAAAGAAGATTCAGCTCTAGATGACTTTACTAGACAGTTCTAACAAACATTTAGCAAGAAACAATACCAAATTCTACAAAAACTCTTCCCCAAAATTGACGAAGAGAGAATAAGAATATTTACCAACTCATTCTTTAAGGCCAGTATTACCCTTATAGTAAAATCAGACAAAGGCATTCCAGGAAGAGCAAACTACAAACCATTATCATTCATGAACATGGATTTTAAAGTTCTAAACAAAATTTAGCAAATCAAATCCAACAATATATAAAAATAATAATATGTAATATATCATGACAAAGTAGGGTTTATCTCAGGAATCCAAAAGTTGGTTTAATATTTGAAAATCAGTTAATATAAGTCATGATATGAACAAGTAGAAAAAAATACAACTCTCTCAGTAGACACAGCAAAAACATTTGGCAAAATCCAGGATCCATTCCTAATATAAATCTCTCAACAAACCAGGAAGTAAAAAGACCCTCCTCAACATGATAAAAGACACCCACAAAAATTTTACAACTATTATCCTACTTAACAATGCAAAAGTGAATGCTTTTCCTCTAAAATCAGAAAGAAGAGAGATATGCCCACTCTCACTATTTCTATTCACCATCATACTTGAGCTTCTAGCCAGAGCAACCAGACAAGAAAAAGAAATAAAAGACATCCATATTCGAAAGGAAGAAGTAAAACTGTCTTTATTTGCAGATGACATGGTTACCAATGTAAAAAATTCAATGTAATCAACAACAATAAAAAAACTACCAGAACAACAAGTGTTCATAATAGCATTATTTGTAATATCCAAAAGCTGAAAACAACTCAAATATCCATCAACAGGTGAATCAATAAACAAATTTTAATATATTCACACAACAGACTACTTTTTATTCATACAATAAATACTATATTTATTCATACAATAAAAAGAAATACTGATATATACAAAAACATGGATGAATCTTAAAATAATTATGCTAAGTGAAAGAAAGTATACTAAAAAAGTATTTTAATGAGTTTAAAAAAAAAACCGGAACACTTTAAAAATGACAATTCCAAGTCCTGACAAGGATATGGAACAATGAAAGGTACATACATCACTTTTCCAAATTGAATGTACCAGCAAAATGGTACATCCTCTTTGGAAAATCATTTGGTGGTTTTTAATAAAGTAAATGTATTTTTACTATACAATTCTATGATGCTATGTCTAGTCATTCACCCAAGAAAAATGAAGACATGTCCACACAAAAACCTGTATATGAATGTTTTTAGCACCTTTGTTCATAATTGTCAAAACCTAGAAACAACCTAAAAGTCCAATTGTACAAACCCACAGTTGGTACATACATGAACTAACTACACATGGAATGTACAATGGAATACTACTCAGCAATAAAAAGGAATGTACTAGTTATACATGCAGCAACAAGGAAGGATCTAAAAAGTATCATGCTAAGAAAAAAGCCAGAAGCAAAGGCTACATACTGTTGGATTCAGTTATATGGCATTTGGGAAAAAGGAAAACGAAGGACAGATATTAGACCAGTGGTTCCAGTGGTTCCAGGGTGTAGGGTGTAGTTTAATTGCCAAGGAGCTTGGAGCCACGTTGAAGGTGATGGAAATGGTTTATATCTTGACCGTGGTGGTAACACAAATTTGTCAAAATTCATAAAACTATATTTCTAAAAAGTGTGAATTTTGCTCTATGTAAATTACAGTGTACAAGCAAACCAACAAAACAAAATATAGAAAACTGAAGATGATAGTGTAACGTGAGCCTATATAAACTTTTTTTCTCACATTAAAAAGAAAGGAGATGGATTAGCTTTGGGAGTGAGAAAAATAAAAAATAAAAACAAACAAGAACATCTATTACAATCTTACATTAGAATTTGGCTGATATGAGGAAATTTTGTTCTATTACAAAATAGAAGAATTAGAGAATTATTTCAGGTATTCTTACTGTGATCACAATCTTAGGTTGTTGAAGACTTATGAGTCCTAATACAGACACAAAAGAGTAGAGAGTTTACCTAGTAGTTAGTGGCAAATAACCAGATTCTAAATTACTTTGACCTTCTCTCTTTTTCCTCTTTGTATATTGGCTATTTATTGTCTTATAGAAGATACCACCTGGGAATCAGAAGAATGTAATCCTGCTTTAAATTTCACGTTTAAGAAAGAAGAAAAAAAAAGTGAAAAATAGAAGAAAAAGAAAATAAAAGAAAGAAAATATAATAGGAGGTTCAACCTCACTCTGTCTTTACTTTGGGAATTAGATGTTTATTCTTTTATATTTTTGCTAGAAGAAGAAAGTGGAAAATTGGCCTTGCAGCCTTCTTCAATCCTTTTCAGTATTTTAAAATTTTCCAAACATCTAAGAAAATGAACAAATCATTATTTAGTTGCTGATAGGAGTTTGAGGGTTTCTAATTTCATAGACAGGGCCTCCTCTCCTAGAATGACATTTCTGCACTTGTATTTTTAGCCCTCCAATTTTCTCTTGGGAAAGTTGGTGGCTAGTGGGCTTTGGGATCAAATCCCAATTCTGCTACTTCCTACCTGTGTGACCTTGAGCAAGATAAGTCTCAGTTTCTTTATGTGTAAGATGGTATAATAACACCTTGTCATTAGAGTTGGGGAAGAATTAAACTGAGAAAATATATAATAGGCATGAACACTATATAGTTACACTATATAGTCTGCCAAATATACTATATAATCTATACAGTCTACACTGTATAGTCTGCTCAATTCCTCAATTTATAAGACACTCTGAAGTAGCCCTTTTTTGTGTGTAAATCATGCCACATTTTGTTTCTCTCCTTCTTAGGCTATTATGGAAGGCAGTGGCCGGATAAGGGCAGAATCTTACCCTGATAGCAGCACTCTGGTCATTGATGTAGCTGAAAGAGACGACTCTGGTGTTTACCACATCAATCTGAAAAACGAAGCTGGAGAGGCACATGCAAGCATCAAGATTAAAGTTGTGGGTAAGTCCTCCAGGTAAACACACTTCTAGAATCAAGTTGACATGTCAAGATTCAGAGTAGACTTTCCTTCTTTGTCCTTCCCTTCCATTTCCTTCCTTTGTCTTTCCTTTGTCTTCTTTTTTTTCTTGCCTAGAGGACTTATCATTGGAGGAAGAATAGCTAAAGTCAGCCATTTGGGGTTGCTGGTCATTAGCTCTCCAAAGTCATATTCCCTTTTGGTGCCCTTTAAACATCACTGAAACACAATTGCTAAATAACTTCCCACATCACAATCATTACAGAGGGATAAGCTCTGCCTTGGTCCTTAGACAACTATCTGAGTGCATTTTTCCTAAGTCCCAAAACTGAGTAAAATGAGTCTAGCAGATTACTACTGTTCCAAGGTCTGATGCTCTTCTCTTCTCACTTTAGTTTCTCCTTAAATGACATATTTCAAATTGACCAAAAACTAAGGTCATTTTTATCAGACACCAAACTATACTTACAAGATACTGTGACTTGCCATTTCTGACTTGGATTTCTACCAGCCAACATCTGGAGTCTTGTAAAACTCCTTGATTCAGTTCTGCTGGAAGTTCACTTTGTAGTTAAAAACAACTACAACTACCACAACAACCATATTCAACATTTAGACAATAGTTTCTTGGTTAACATTTTTCAAGGCAAGGAATGAGAGTTTTGGGTTTCACATGGGGCTTATTCTGTAATGCTGGGACACTGGTTTGAGATATCATTATTCTTATTTGGGGTGAGGGGTGGACTTATCTTCCCTTATCCCATATTGAGCACAAAGTTTTGCCCAAATTAGTTACTAACTTGTATTAGTCTGTTTTCACGTTGCTGATAAAGGCCTACTAGAGACTGGGTAATTTATAAAGAAAAAGAGGTCTAATGGACTCACAGTTCCTTGTAGTAGGGGAAGCCTCACAATCATGGTGGAAGGTGAAAGCCATGTCTTACATGGCAGCAGGCAAGAGAGAGAGAATGAGAACCAAGCCAAAGAGGTTTCCCCTTATAAAACCATCAGATCCCTTGAGACTTACTCACTACCATGAGAACAGTATGTGGGAAACTGCCCCGATGATTCAATTCTCTCCCTCCAGGTCCCTCCCACAACATGTGGGAATTATGGGAGCTACAATTCAAGATGAGATTTGGATGGGGACATGGCCAAACCATATCATAAGCATAATTCAATAAACATGGAAAAGTCTCGGAAATAACAGTTTCTATGATTATCACCAAGAAACGTATTTTCCTATTAACTTTTTTTTCTACTCCCTCTTCCTTATTTTACTTTATCCTATTTTTTGTCTGCCACAGACCTCCCTGATCCTCCAGTGGCACCGACTGTGACAGAGGTGGGAGATGACTGGTGTATCATGAAGTGGGAGCCTCCTGCCTACGATGGAGGGTCTCCAATCCTAGGTAACTGCTTGTTGGTTAGTCTGTGTAACTGCCAGTACAGTTGTGTCCTCTTTACGCATCTTAGTACACAGCACATTTTAAAATATTGCTCTTAGAAGAAAACCTATTTTACTGTGACTTTATGCATTCAAAAGGAAATACATATGTTGAGATGCTCTGTAATTACTCGAGATTTAAATAACTCTGATGAATATCATCTGATTGCCGGTTTTCTTTTTTGTTTGACATTTATACACACTAATTTTGAGGCAACCATAAGGCTAACTTCCACTATCCTAGCCAGTGAATGTCTGATTCTACATGATTTTGTCTATGAAGAAATGTCTTTTAGAATTAAATAATTACGCTGAGCGTGGTGGCTCATACCTGTAATCCCAGCACTTTGGGAGGCCTAGGCGGGTGGATCACTTGAAGCCAGGAATTCAAGACCAGTCTGGCCAACATGGTAAAACCCCACCTCTATTAAAAATACAAAAATTAGCTGGGCATGGTGGTGCACGCCTGTGGTCCCAGCTACTCGCTACTCCGGAGGCTGAGGTGGGAGGATCACTTGAGCTCGGGGGCGTGAAGGTTGCAGTGAGCGAAGATCACACCACTGCACTCCAGCCTGGGCAACAGAGTGACACTCTGTCAGAAAGAAAGAAAGAAAGAAAGAAAGAAAGGAAGAAAGGAAGAAAGGAAGAAAGGAAGAAAGGAAGAAAGGAAGAAAGGAAGGAAGGAAGGAAGGAAGGAAGGAAGAAAGAAAGGGACAGAGAGAGAGAGAGAGAGAGAGAGAGAGGGAGGGAGGGAGGAAGGAAGGAAGGAAGGAAGGAAGGAAGGAGAGAAGGAGAGAAAGAGAGAGAGAGAGAAAGAAAGGAAGGAAGAAAGAAAGGAAGGAAGGAAGGAAGGAAGGAAAGAAGGGAGGGAGGGAGGGAAAGAAAGGAAAGAAAGAAAGAAAGAGAGAAAGAAAGAAAGAGAAAAGAAAGAAAGAAAAAAAAAAGAAAGAAAAAGAAAAGAAAGAAAGAAAAAAGATGTAAATGCTTAGAAGCATTTGCTTCCCCTATGCCATGAGAAGGTTTTCTCTTTGCTAACAATGAGACTCACGAAACTGGTCATTTCCCCCTTCTTATCTTCCTTGCTGGGACTCAGAGTCAACTACATTGGCTCTGATTATATTGTTCACCTACAGTGACTGAGTTGCTATGGTTGACTTATGTGTGATCCATTTTTCTTTTCTTTATAGTACAATTTTAATTTCTTAGTCCCATTATTTTCATCTATATTTTATATTAATATTTATATTCTCTTGGAATAAGGTAGGTTAAAATATTTACATACACGTATGACTATTTCACATAGATTGATGACAAAATGCAAAATTTTAAGGACTTCTAATATCTGACAAAGTTTATTTTCAGAGACCAAGGAAAAACCTGAGTTTTCATTTTGCATACCTGCAGGATATTTTATTGAGAGGAAGAAGAAACAAAGCTCCAGGTGGATGAGGCTGAATTTTGATCTCTGCAAAGAAACAACTTTTGAGCCCAAGAAGATGATTGAAGGTGTGGCCTATGAGGTCCGCATCTTTGCAGTCAATGCCATCGGCATCTCCAAGCCCAGTATGCCCTCCAGGCCTTTTGTTCCTTTGGGTAAGTCAAGAGAGATGAGTCTTTGTCATGAGCATCATTGCCCCAGAGTATGACTGCTTTCTCTCTGATGCCTAGCTGGAACACGCCTGGACGCTTCTTAGAGTGGTAGGTGGCAGGAGCTTGAAACAGTTAGGGACAATTTTATGTGTCTAAGAAATTAAAAAGTAGGTTAGGTTAAGTTGAATAGCTTCATAACATAGGCCCTGAAATTCATTACCATAATTCCATTGCCAACTGTGGGTGACTCTGGTTGCCATTCCCCACTGAAAGCATGTTGCTGAGTCCATGGACATATGACTACTCTCCATTTGCCCTTCTGAAGGTATTAGCCTATTAATATAACCCAGCTTATTGCAAACAACTATCACTGAAACAAATTGAGGTCAGTTCAACAGGCTACACTTGGAAACTGGTCTCTTTGCTTTACGGTCACACCTTAAATGTTATCTATTAAATCAAAAAAGTTAGTTCAGTGAAGGCAAAAAAAAAAGACATCTCCATTATTTTATGGCAATGAGGTATTTTTTTCAATGGAAAGAAAATGTAATACAAGAGTTTGCACTTAGAAATTAGACAGCAATGGGAAAATTACTCTAGATCATTAGATCCCAAACCTTGCCTTCTTCAACTTCCTTGGGCCTCCCAGCTTCCCACACCAACTTCTCAATTTGGAAAAAACACATGACAGCATTTCCAAAATTCTCACATTGATTAGATCTTTGCCTTGCACACAACCATGCTCAAAGTGTCTTAATTGAATTTCATTAAGATGTAGGGCTTTTGTGTCTATTTTTATTTGTGTCCCCATTGATTTTATCACAGTTCCTGCACTATAGCTGTGTAGTAAATACTTTATTCTTTTCTGTCTCTTTTATCTTTAAGCTGTAACAAGCCCTCCTACTCTTCTGGCTGTGGACTCTGTCACTGACACGACTGTCACGATGAAGTGGCGTCCCCCAGACCAGATTGGTGCAGCAGGTTTAGATGGCTATGTGCTAGAGTATTGCTTTGAAGGATGTAAGTACAACCAGTAGATAAAACAAATACTGTCGTCAATAGGTGAGATATGTCCCTTCCCTTTCTTTTGTCTCTCTTTGTTGAGAATGCATCACCTTCCTATGAAAATAAGATCAAACCAAATATCATCCTTCTGAGATGTATACAAACTAAACCCTTTTTTAGTACTTGGTGCTTATAAATTGATATCTCAAAAATACCTTGTCTAGGCTGCCAGATTGGACACCATAATTGAACTAAGACATGGGAGGAAGAGATTGTAACAAAACTTTGGGGACTTCCTCTTCTTAAACTGGCGGAATTGAATTGCACCACAGCAATATAAAAGTCTAGTTATGATGAAGCCAGTTGGAAATTCTAAAACCTATACTGAGCCGAAGTTAACTATCAAAAGAGTGGCCTATTTTGGGTAATAAAGGAAGACTACGTATTTGTCTAGTGATCATCACCTGCCTTCATCTAAAAATAAGATGAATTAAGAACCACTCTTAGTTTTAAAGGAAGCAGCGTTAAATCCTCGAGCACATAAGAAATAAGTTCAATATGTAGCAGTAACTTATCTCAGGAGTTGGGGATATAAAAATGTAATCAGTTTAATTTAGGAGGGGAAGAGAAACAAGGCCATAAATTTTTAAAATCACTGATAGAAATAATAGCAAAAGAAAAAATGACAGAAGAAAGTATGGGCCAGAATTACCTGAAAACCAAAAGAATGTGAAACTTACCAAAATCCCGTTGTGTTTCTTGGTTTCTTATTTGCCATAACTAGAAAGGGATGACATTTGAAAATGGCTCTGGACTTGGTCTCCATTCTAGATGATGGTAGGTAAAGAATCACCCAGGAAACTTATTCAAATTCCACAAACAATAGCCCAAGACTTCACCTCCAAGAAAACTCTTTGGACACCAAACTTTAACATAGATCCTCCAAATGAAGGAAGGAGGTTACGAAGCACATTCAGGAAATCAGGAATGTGAACGCAAGTGCACCTCCCCTGGAGGAAACTCACTATGGAGAAGAAACTTCCTATGAAGAGAAAACTACTGAAAAAGAAATCCCAGGTGCCTGGATTGGGACACCTGTGGAAATGCTCACCTCTGTTCTGGAGGGAAGAAGAGGAGAGGGACAATGAAGTACCCTGATACCCCTCAATCCCTCTTGCGCCTGCTCCACACACAGAGTCCTATGATTCGTTTCTCCAGGATTTAAAAAGCCACTAACCAAAAGCAGTGGAAACGTGGTCAGAAACTTCCCAGGGTTAACCCAGCAAGGGAAGGGGTAGTGTCACTAATGCAACAAGTAAATTCTTGAGCACTTCAGTTTATTCCTCTTCCATCCCCCCGCCCCATTTAAAAAAGTCATGAGTACTCCATTCTGCTTTTTATATTGTCCAGCCAGCAGAATATCCCAATCTTATGTGAGATGTGGCCTTTGAGCATAAACCTTTTGTGTATGTATGAATCGAGCAAATTCTTTACTCTTTTCTTTCTGATAGGTTTAAAAAGTAAGAAGATACAGCAAAATGATAGATGGCTGTCATTTTGATGTTACCCACCTTAGATAAAATACAATGAAGTGTATTTTACATAATTTTGCGTGTGGTCTGTGTAGATACATATGTATACCCGTGAATACATATGTATATGTACACAGTCATTCTGTATATATTTTGCTGAGTAATGTTTTGGAATTAGCTTTCTATGGGAGTTCTCTCACAATGTGTATCTCTTTCTCTTTGCAGTCTTTTCTTATTTTCTTTATGTGGCTGCCGACTCTTCATTCTCTTTTAATGGCTATTGTCCTCCAGACTAATTTTCTATAGTGTTTAATGCTTTTAGAGACGTCAGGTTCTATTCTGTAAGAGAATTCTTCGTTTTATAAGATCGTGTGTTGTTTTGGACTCTGCCTTTCTCTCGTTTTTGTTTTGTTATTATTTTTTTAATGCCTGCAATATTTTACTCTTCTTTGTTTTCTTTCTGCACTCAAGTTTGTTCTTTCCTTTCTTAAAAATTCTCCTCACGTGTTAAATAACTTACAAATTCCTTGCCCATCCCCTGGGATGCCATCTTCTTTGTCTGTGTTTCCCCAATTAAAGTGGTTCCAATGTGAAGAGATGGACTACTTTTGTTCCCCCTCTGGTCTTGTTTTGTCCTGTTTTCTCTTGAAAGTGTCTCTTTTACTAGTTCTTCACTCTTCTGTGCATGTTTTCTGAGTCTCTTATTTTCACTTTCTCATCCACTGTCTCTTGACTCTGAAAATACCAACCCAGAAGCTCCCAAGCAGACCATTTGTTTAAAGATGGTCTCTTTTTCAAAGACATGAGGAATTTTTATTCTCCACATGCCTTCCTAGCTGCCAGGATATTCTAGCTGCCTGCCCTTCTCCTTGATAATCCTGGTAGGGTTAGAACAAGAGAGAGGCAAAGTTTCCAATGGACAGCCAGTCCAGCCCCCGATGCCCCCACTCCTCTCCTGATACCGAGAAAGTCATCATCTCAAACCAGTGGGGTAGGCCCAAGACCACCCTGTGAGTCACCCATGTGGGATGCAGGGACCCGGGCAGGCTCAATTTGTTTTCTTGACAGAGTTCATTGTCATGGGAACATGACAATGTTCCCTCTTTAGCTGCTGGGGCAGCCTCCAATTCTATTCAGAACTTGGGCCCTGGTAAAACAGGGCTGGCCTTATCCCAAGGGCCTGCACTCCCAGTCTTGAATGAGGGAGCCCCACTGTGGGAGCACTGTGTTTCCTGGGGACCCAAGAGAATCCTCCCCTGCTGGGGTGGCAGAGACAGGAACAAGGATAGACTGTCTCACTGTGCGCTGCTCCTCTGCAGATTCCAGGACCTGCTCCTCTGTTTTCTTCAGGGTCTTGCTTTGTTCTTCTCTATCTCTTCTTCTCACTGCTGGAGGTATCCCAGCCTCCTTTCTCCTCTACTCTTTTCTTTTCTCTCCTCTTCTCTGTGGCAGGTGCCTCAGGACAGAAGCCACAGTCTGCACAGAGCAGGCTGTGCTCTCCTGAGGAACCCCCCTAACACCGTTTGGTCTCTTCCGTCACTGCTCTGAGGACAAATCTCTTTGCACACTTTGCATACTTTACTAACAGAGAATGCTGACTGCTGATACGATATTCTTCTGGTGTGAAAGTGGGTGTCTTTAATTAATTTTAATGACGGATTCTCAAAGGTACGTCAGCAAAACAGTCTGATGAAAATGGGGAGGCTGCGTATGATCTGCCAGGTAAAGTATTCCGTGAAGCTCTCAAATTTTCTTACTATATTATAATGTTTCTGGGACTATTGAATGACCAAGCATGAAGTATACTCACCACACACACACACACACACACACACACACACACACAGAGAGAGACACACAGATCCTTAGAGTTGGGGGAGAGGGAGCAGTGAGTTAATAATGTGGGGTCAAAGTCTTCTTTCTTCCTGTGGGCAAAATGCATACTAACTTTTAGATGCTGAAACATTTGTAAGGCCTGAATGCAGGGTTAAAATTCTCTTGTACACAAGCTGCCAAAAACTTTTTAAAATTCGATTTTGGTTGCAAGGTTAGAATTTTACCAACTCCTTATGAGGTATCAGCCCATGAACTGCGTTTTGTCTTTGTGATATAAGCTTTTTCTCTTCATCAATGTGAGTAAATATGATCAGGTTCTCTATACCCATGTTAGTGTCTTACAACAGTAAATCAACCAAGATAAAAATGTATGATATGACTATAAAGGTCAGTGTCTCTCATTCATAAAGAGAGCCTTTTCCTGTTTTTCTGAACTTTAATGTGTATAGATGGCTAGCAATCATGATTGCATGAATCATTATAAAACTAAATTGGAATAAAACTGTTACAGACTTCTTATGGACAGTTACTATTATTCAGGATGCCTTCGTGCTGAATAAGAGGTTTTTCAGAAACAGCAGAAGCTTATAGTTTATTTTTCCTATTATTTATGTTAGCTATTTTAGGCTGTTTTTTATTTAATATATGAAAAATGTCCACCCCTGTAGTCGGAGTCCAGACCAAAGTCATAATCTCTCTAAATGATGTATTATTATGAGTAAAATACGAATTTGGAGTTGACTGTAATGGTTAAGATGATTTTTTTTCACTAAACAGCATTCCTCCTTCTTTTCCTCTTCTTTTATGGACTTCAGCTGACAACTGGTTACCTGCAAACAAAGATCTGATCGACAAGACGAAGTTCACCATCACAGATCTGCCGACAGATTCAAAGATCTTTGTGCGTGTGAAGGCTATTAATGCAGCTGGTGCCAGTGAGCCCAAGTACTATTCTCAGCCCATTCTCGTGAAGGAAATCATAGGTAGGTGACAAGGCTTTCAAAATTTAGATTCCATTTTACATTGTTCACTTTTTTTTTTCTTCAAACTGACTTTCTTTCTCGAAACCTCCTATTTTGTTGTTACTCCTTTGATATTTTGTTAATGCTTCCTAGTAGTTAGAACTTAACAAAACAACTCTCTTCAGGCAATATGGGAGATCACCTACAGGTTTATCTTGGTACTCTGAGGACCAGTTAGTTAACCTCTACTGGTTCCAGGAGCCAACTCTGGCTGGGCTGCCTATTCACAGTGGAGAGAGAGTATGTTAATGCAACCATGCAAACAATCCCTGCAACAACCGTGTGCCTCTAATGAATCTGCAGGGTCAGAACCGTTTTCATAATATTATGAATATATTATTTGTACCTTTCAGTGTTTTGACATCTGCACTGATAGTATAAAAATGAAGATGAGTAAAACTATTGATACCTTGGCATGAAATCAAGTCACTGCCATGGAGTAATACTAGCCAACCTTGCCTTCCTCACCACCATGCATTCAACAGTTGAAACAAAAGGGCCAGTTTTGCCTTAGAGTCTTTCTTTCTTTTTTTTTTTTATTGAGATGGAGTTTTGCTCTTGTTGCCCAGGCTGGAGTGCAATGGCACAATCTTGGCCACTGCAACCTCTGCCTCCTGGGTTCAAGCAATTCTTCTCCCTCAGCCTCCCAAGTAACTGGGATTATAGGCATGCACCACCATGCCTGGCTAATTTTTTTGGTGTTTTTTAGGAGAGACAGGGTTTCCCTATGTTGGTCAGGCTGGTCTCGAACTCCTGACCTCAAGTGATCCACCTGCCTCAGCCTCCCAAAGTGCTGGGATTACAGGCGTGAGCCACCATGCCTGGCCCTTAGAGTGTTCTTAATGAAGCATAAAAATAATTAATTTTGGCTGAGCACGATGGCTCATGCCTGTAATTTCAGTATTTTGGGAGGCTGAGGCAGGGGTATCACTTAAGCCCAAGAGTTTGAGACCAGGCTGGGGAATATGGCAAAACCACATCTCTACTAAAAATACAAAAATTAGCCGGGTGTGGTGGCACACGCCTGTGGTCCCAGCTAGTCAGGACGCTGAGGTGGGAGAATCGCTTGAAATCAGGAGGCGGAGGCCGCAGTGAGCCAAGATCATGCCACTGTACTTCAGCCTGGGTGACAAAGCAAGGCCTTGTCTTGAACAAAACAAAACAAAACAAGAATAAGAATAATAGCTTTCATCAAATCTTGGCTCTTGAGTATGTTTTTTTTCTAGACTTGTGTGACAATGAAATGCAAAGTATGTCTGAACACTTAGGCTGCACACTGCAGTACAATGGTTTACCCCAGGAAAAGCACCGTACAACTGAGTTGGAGGATGAATAGGTGACTTTTTTGCATAGAAACTCCACTTTTACTTGAGGAAATAAGTAAGAAGAACCGCTTCTTCCCTGTGAGCCTATGAGCCTTCGACTCCCTGCTCCTGATGGATTTGCAGCGACATGCTCTAGTATCTTCATGATGTTTAATTAATGAATATTAATACACAGTGGGCCAGGGTTGCCTATTATGTACTTCACCATAGTCACACAAGGAGAAAGTTACTGTTAAACTCCAACAGAGTCACCTAAATAGCAAGTGCTGGGTGCTGACATTTTGTTTGTTTTTTTTTTTTTTTCTGGTAAGGAAGAATGGACAGTCTTCCCAGCTAATGTGGTGCCTATAGATGTTTTGTGGAATGTTCCCTGGCAAATATACTCACTGTTAGAAACTATGAATAACTAGCTAGATGCGGTGGCTCATGCCTGTAATCCCAGCACTTTGGGAGACTAAGGAGGGTAGATCACCAGAGGTCACAAGTTTGAGACCAGCCTGGCCAACATGGCAAAATCCCATCTCTACTAAAAATACAAAAATTAGCCAGGCATGGTGGCATGTGCCTGTAGTCTCAGCTACGCGGGAGACTGAGACATGAGAATCGCTTGAACCCGGGAGGCGGAGGTTGCGGTGAGCAATGCCACTGCACTCCAGCCTGGGTGACAGAGACTCTGTCTGAAAAAAAAAAAAAAAAAGAGAGAAAGAAACTATGAAAAGTATGCATAGAATGTATAAGGCCCTAAGAGAGAATGTATTTTTCTATAAAGTTGCTTTAGGCTTATTACAACAATGAAAATACAAAGTTGCAATAAAGCCAAGGATATCAGGGATAAATTTTGCTGAGTCAAACTGTTAAAACATCTCTGCTTGAAGAGAAAACAAGACAAAACAAAACAAACAAACAAAAACCACACACACATTTTGAACCAGTTACCATACATTGTCTGTTAGTGGCACATCTCAGATTTTATTGCAGAGATATGACCACAAGGGTACTCTGGTGAGTATCATGCCATTTTGCTTTTGTAAGGCTATTTTCAGACACCAGACTGATGCAAAATTGTGCTATTTTACCCTCACTCAGAACCTCCAAAGATTCGCATCCCAAGACACCTGAAGCAAACCTATATCCGCAGAGTTGGAGAAGCTGTCAATCTGGTTATACCTTTCCAGGTAAGCGTTCAAAGGTCGCTCTTTTTCTCTTTCCACGGTTGGGTTAGTTTAGGAAGTAGGAAGACGTGCTCTAGCATTTAAGTTCATCGTAATTCAGGATTTCCTCAGAGGGAGAGGAGGTAAATAAAGAAAGAAAGAGTGTTAGAGAATGATTAAGCAATCTCCTGCTATCAAAATAGAGAAATCTACAGAAACCATCATAGATTTTCTTTCTACATGAGACAAATGAGGTATAGTCTTGCCTGAAACTCAGGGACTATGGTGGGCAGGGAGGAAACATCAAGGAGATACCAAATGAAGAAATGCTTGAAGATTCTTTTGGTCATATATATTTGTAAAAACCCATGATTTTAAGTGAAGCTCTCAGTGTCACATTCAGGAAAACAGTGTGTGCTTAGTTCCCACGATGACCCCAAACCAAAATAATTTCAATAAGGAGGACAACTGAAATTTGAAATCACGATGACACTAACTGAAATATATGAACAATATTAAATCATTATTTCAGCAAAAGAATCTGTTCTTCACAAAATTCACTAGTCTTCACTTACAATAGTCAATTTTGGTCTTACACAAATACACACACACACCCTGTACCTCCCAACCCTTACTCTCCAGCTCCCTATTCATATGGCACCTCCAGACAGTGCTGTTCAATAGAATTTTCTTCAATGATACCAATGTTCTATATCAGCGCTGTCCAGTATGGTAGCCACTAGCCACATGTGGCTATCGAGCACTTGAAATGTGTAACTAGGAACTAGTGTGACTGGAGAAATAAATTTTAAATTTTCTTTAATTTTAATTAATTTTAATTTAAATAGCCACTTGTACCTTGTGGCTATTGTATCAGCCAGGCTGGCCTTAGAATGTAGGTCTCTACACACATTTGACACTCATACACACACACATACACGCACACACACACACACATGCACACACACACAGAGAGAAGTCTGTTCAAACCCAGGCTCCCATGAAACCAAACTAAAGGGATGGCCAATTCAGGCCATCCTCATTGCACTCTGGGCACAAACCTAAGGAGAGGCATTGTGTACTACATACCCCCCGCATGAAATCAGAATGAAAGCCAAGGAGGAAGTGAAGCGGAACACAGCCGAGGAGCAAGCGGGTGACTTGGCAAGGTTCTTCCCACTTTCCTTCTCCTGCAGCATCAAATAAAACCAGAAGTGGCAACAAGGCAGGCACTGGGGACCTAGCCCCAACCCTGCAGTGGGGCTGCTGAATCAGCCCTCAAGTCTCCACACCGTTCCTGCCACCACAGCTAATCCCAGTTCCCAGATCTGGGGGTCTGTGTGTTCAACTTCTGTCCCTGAGTCTGAGAGAGAAAAAAAATCATGAGAACAAGTTCCCCATAGATCTGGCATCCCAGAGACTGTTCAGCCCCCAGGAAGGGAGATGAGACCAAAATGTGATGTTAGTATATTTGTGTAATCTCTAGAGTTCCCAAACATTTTCTCATTTGATCCTCAGAAACACCCTGTGAGGCGGAAAGACCAGATTTCCTTACCTTGCTTGAGAAGGGAAGAAACTGACAGGGAAGTTAAGTGACTTGCCCAACGTCACGCAGAAAGTCAATGGTAGGGCCAAGAACAGAGTCCGTGGCCCCGTGACTTAATTCAGTGGTTTTTTTCACTTTGTGTATTATTAGAGAACCCACATTTTCCCCTAGTGGCTAAGAGCAAGTTGTACATTTAAGGAAATATAAGCTTCAACTGTCTTTCCCTTTCTTCAACAATGTTGTTTTCTGCTTCCCATGTGTGAGTCTGAGCACCCCCAACCACTCTTCAGGCTCTGAGAGCAGGAGTTTGGTGTGTAGCTCTACATCTCTTATTATAACCTAGCCATGTTCAGAGCCCACAGGAAAGCTGTGCCTTACCTGACAGAATTCATGCTTGGTTCCTGTCTGCCAGGGTGAGCCTGGATGCTCAGATCTTCTAGAAAATTCCTTTGTAATAGAAATGGAAACTCAGGTTCATGAATAGGATTATGATTTCTTATATTCTGCTCTTAAAGAATAGTTTCAACAGCTAGAGGGAACAGAGAGAGAATTCAGATGATAGTGGCTGGGCACGGTGGCTCACGCCTGTAATCCCAGCACTTTGGGAGGCGGAGGTGGGTGAATCACATGAGGTCAGGAGTTCGAGACCAGCCTGGTCAACTTGGTGAAACCCTGTTTCTACTAACAACTACAAAAATTAGACAAGCACGGTGGTGTGCACCTGTAAACCCAGGTACTCGGGAGGCTGAGGCAGGAGAATCCCTTGAACCCAGGAGGTGGAGGTTGCAGTGAGCCAAGATTGTGCCACTGCTCTCCAACTTGGGAAACAAGAGCCAAACTCCGTCAAAAAAAAAAAAAAATTAGGTGATATTAATTACAAAAACTTATGTATTGGACAGAAACTTTCTCAGGAATTCAATCTTTATAACCACTCTTTGAGATAGGTACTACCAATATTCCCGTTGAGGCACAGAAAGCTTAGTAAGTAACTTGCCCAAGGTCACGCAGACATTAAGTGGTCAGGAGCCAGATATAGATTCCAGGGCCCCAGAGCCCATGCTCTTAACCATTATCCTGTGTTGTGTAGGCTTTCGGAGCCAACAGACCCAGCTGGGAGACCTGGTTCCAGTGCTTATTAAATGCAAGACCTTGGGCAAATTATTTAACTTATCTATCCAAAAAATGAGGATAATGATACTAAGCTTGATGTGAAGATTAAGGGAAATAATCAATGTGATGTACCTAAGGTAGTGCCTTGCACATAAAATGCAGATGACAGCTTTGCTGCTGTAATTGCTCACCACCAGACTAGAAGGGTGGTGTTTTCCAGCCCTGCCTAGAATGGGTTAAGCCATTGTCCTTCTCATAATGCTGAAGAAACATCTTGAGACAATGTGATTTACCCCCTCTACTTTTGCTGTCTTTCTTTTTAGGGAAAACCAAGACCAGAATTAACTTGGAAGAAGGATGGTGTAGAAATTGATAAGAATCAAATAAACATTCGCAACTCTGAGACTGATACAATCATATTTATTAGAAAAGCAGAGAGGAGCCACTCTGGGAAATATGATCTGCAAGTCAAAGTGGACAAATTTGTGGAGACCGCATCAATTGACATCCAGATTGTTGGTAGGTTTAGACGAAGGAGCCAGAACGTTCTGTCAAAGCAGTACAGGGATGAATTGTTCTTGTCCCTAAGGCAAGAGCAGGAGTTTTGTTAGGCTGGCTCTACATAAAACTCTTTTTTTAGATTTGTTTTTAAAAAATAGATAAATTAGGCTGGGCGTGGTAGCTCACACCTGTAATCCCAGCACTTTGGGAGGCCGACGTAGGTGGATCACTTGGGGTCGGGAGTTCAAGACCAGCCTGGCCAACATTGTGAAGCCCTGTCTCTACTAAAAATACGAAAATTAGCTGGGTGTGGTGGCGTGCACCTGTAATCCCAGCTACTCCGGAAACTGAGGCAGGAGAATCACTTGAACCCAGGAGGTGGAAGTTGCGTGAGTTGAGATCAAGCCACTGCACTCTATCTAGCCTGGGTGACAGAGCAAGACTCTGTCTCAAAAAAAAAAAAAAACAAGGCAGTAAGATTTGTTACCATTTCAAAATGAATTCTCACCAACTCAAAGGACTAATCATGAGAGATTTAAGGCATATATGTTCAAGAAAATTAATGAATGTACTTTTTAGTGAAATCCTTCTGCACTATTGTACAACCCGGCTCTCTCTTACTCTTAGTTTCTCATCTCCCTGATGGTAAAGTTATTTCTTATGTTGAATTCTTACATTCTAGACATTATAGATTCTAGCTATAGTTTAACATGTTTCTTACTACACCTAAAATTTACTGGTAAAAGTTTTCATGGAGAATGAAGAATTTTTTTTAAATATTAATATAAGGAAGATGTACCTAAGCAAAACTGAACAGTTAAGCACTGAATTCTTTGATCCTGCCAGAGTAGTTAGATACTTACCTGCCCAAAGAATAAATAATGTTAGTTCTTAATTACTTAAATTATTCTGTAATTTTTGCAACTTCAAGAAATAAATTTAAGGCCGGGCATGGTGGCTCACACCTGTAATACCAGCACTTTGGAAGGCGGGCAGATCACTTGAGGCCAGGAGTTTGAAACAAGCCTGGACAACATGGTAAAAACTTGTCTGTACTAAAAATGCAAAAATTAGCCAGACATTGTGGCACACGCTTGTCCTAGCTACTTGGGAGGCTGAGGCATGAAAATCACTTGAACCTGGGAGGAGGAGGTTGTTGTGAGCCAAGATTGCACCACTGCAACTCAGCCTGGGTTACAGACCAAGACTCTGTCTCCAAAAAAACAAAAAGAAGGAAATTTAAGAGCAGAGCTAGAAAAAAGCCTTGTTTCCAATCATTGTTATCATTGTATTTCAGTAAATTTGCTGAAAGTTGAGGTTCTCTAACCAACGGGGCAACTTCCTGTAACAGCCTCCTATCTTGGTTTAAAGGGTCATTCCCTTTAAACTAAGCACTCTTTTCCCACTGGCTAATCCTTTTTGAGTTTTGTGAAGTTGAAGGGAGTGTTGAGGCTGCTCTGTGCCCTTTGATCTGGCCTGGCTCCATTCTACTGGAAGGCAAAGGGTCTCAGAAGCCCCCATGGTAGGGTCTAGAAGAGTGATGCCTCCTAAAACAGAGGAAAAGGTCATTTAAAATATCCTCCTGAAATGAAATGTAGACTGGGAAAGAAAGTGACCTTGCAGTGACACCATGAATTCATCCTGTAGACCGTCCAGGTCCACCCCAATCTGTGAAGATTGAGGATGTCTGGGGAGAAAATGTCGCTCTCACGTGGACTCCACCGAAGGATGATGGAAATGCTGCTATCACAGGGTATACCATCCAGAAGGCTGACAAAAAGAGCATGGTAAGGTCTGGCTTTCTCTGGTTAGCAGCAGCAAAAGCCCATTTCATCGGAGGTAAAGGAGGTGGCACAAGGGCCTCACTGGTGAGGAGCCAGCTGGGGCCGTGGAGAAGTGATGTGGCAGAGCAGAAAGCAAAGGACCTGTGGAGCCACAGAGCTGGAATTAAACCCCAGCATTGCTACTTAAGACCATGTGTATAAGGACCACACGTGACCACAATCACTTGACCTCTTTCATCTCTATTTTCCTCGTCTATATAATGGGGGCACAAATATCCCTTGCTTGATTATTACAAAGCTTAAATGATATAAAGCAACTGGTTCAATGCTCCATAGAATTCAATAAACTCATTCCTTCCACAAATATTTGCTCGAGACTTTGACTCAGATTCACACCCATGCAACTGTTTCTCCTTGTGAAATAAGTTGGATACTGTGCACTTATACCTACAAAAAAAGAAAAAAGACAGACACTAGTTAGAAAAGAAAGATTCTCCAAGGTTACAGCATGTGCAAATGCGGAAGGGTCTGGAGGAGGACAAGAGCCTAATACAAGCTTGTCCAACTTGTGGCCCCCGGGCCACATGCAGCCCGGGACGGCTTTGAATGCAGCCCAACACGTGTTTGTAAACTTTCTCAAAACATTATGAGATTTTTTTAATGAGTATTTTTTTCAGCTCATCAGCTATCATTAGTGTTAGTGTATTTTATGTGTGGCCCAAGACAATTCTTTTTCCAGGGAAGCCAAAAGATTGAAAACCCCTGGCTTAATGTGTTTAAAAAGCAACCTAGTTGGAGTAAGACTTATTATAAACTTATTTTATAGATGAGGAAACTGAGGCTCACAGAGGATAAATGACTTGCTAAAGATCACCAGATTTTCTCATGCCTGAATTCCCAGCTACTTGGGAGGCTCAGGCAGGAGAATTGCTTGAACCTGGAAGGCGGAGGTTGTAGTGAGCCAAGATTGTGCCACTGCACTCTAGCCAGGATGGCAGAGCAAGACTCCATCTCAAAAAGAAAAAACAGAACCAAAGTTAATAATACAAACGGGGAGCAGTGGCTCATACCTGTAATCCCAGCACTTTCGAAGGCTGAGGTGGGAGGATTGCTTGAGCCCAGGAGTTTGAGACCAGCCTGGACAACATAGGGAGACCCCCTCTCTATAAAAAATAAATTAGCTGGGTGTGGTAGCACGTGCCTGTAGTCCCAGTTACTCAGGAGGCTGAGGTGAAAGGGTCTCTTGAGCCCGGGAGGTCAAGACTGCAGTAAGCCAAGATCGCATCACTGCACTCCAGCCCGGGTGATAGAGTGAGACTGTGTCTCAAAAAGAAAAAAATATATAATAATAATGTTAAGTAAATGTACTGGATATTACTAATGTTTCTCTAGTGATTTAGCTTCAGGTCTTTCTGATAAGAAGTTGGCACTAAAATTCTGTAATTATACTTTATTCTACAAAAGATAGCTAGGAAGACAAATAGGTAAGTAGACAGGTAGATAAATAGACGACAGACACCTAAAGGTTATGAAAAAACATAAAGATAGTAGATGACATCTAGGGTATATGAGTCTAATGTGTAAATGAAGATTAAATTACATAGTCAATTGCAAATAAGTTGTAAATTATTAAACAAAATATACTTTGTTTCAACATATTTTAATAACGTGTATTACTCTCCATATAAACATATTTTAACAACATATTATTACTCTCCATACAAAAATGAATAGTCTTTTCTTCTTTTTGTTAATAAAGCACTTATTTATCCCAATCTACAGTTAGAAAAATTGTATACTTTTAGGTGATTTTCCTCCAGTTACTATTTTTTTTTTCTTTTAGGAGTGGTTCACTGTCATCGAGCATTATCACCGAACCAATGCCACCATTACTGAACTGGTCATAGGGAATGAATATTACTTCCGGGTCTTTTCTGAAAACATGTGCGGCCTCAGTGAGGATGCCACCATGACTAAAGAGAGTGCTGTGATCGCTAAGGATGGTGAGTTGGGAATGGACTGACATTTGAAAACCTTGGTTGACAGTGACTACACAGAGAAGACTGGAAAAAGAGATGTGGTGAAAGGGAATTTAAAAAATGGTAAATGTACATTGTAAAATTATGATAATGGTGTTCAAGTAAAATTTAAGTGGAATTATATTATTATTGAATTTTTTTTACAAATATAGGCTTTAATTCATTCCAGCTTCTAGGCAGTGGATCTACAAATGGCTAATACCCCAGAGACAGGAAAAAGTAGACATTTTCTTCTAGAGTTTCTACTTTTATTCTTGGACACCTTCAATGTAGCTACACATGGGACCCACTCGATTATAAAAGGAGAAACTAAATTCTATCCTTATCTTTCCATTTCATCATAAACCCCTCTTCTTAAAACCTTCCTTGTGAATTTTCACATTAGAACAAATTTCTGTTCAAAATACTCAGAAAGACACCAAAGTCTTCTCAATATCTGGTTCCGTTTCAGATGACCCCTCTGGCTTTCTATCTCATGTATGATTGGCTATGCATTTGTACCCCTCAGAATGTTTGCCACATGGCATTTGCTCATCTTTTTCCATGTGTTTCTAAGTTCAGGAAAGTTTTAATCGTGAGTAAAGGATGCCACCAATAATATAGTCTCAGGCCAATTTACATAATTTTAACATATTTGTAATGCTTGTTTTTAAGGTAAAATCTACAAAAATCCAGTGTATGAAGACTTTGATTTCTCAGAGGCACCCATGTTTACTCAGCCTTTGGTTAACACCTATGCCATCGCTGGTTACAATGCCACCCTAAACTGCAGTGTGAGAGGAAATCCTAAGGTACTATGTTCTTCTATCACACCAGTTAAAGTCCCTCGCTTGTATTTATTGTGTTATAATGTAAGTAACAATAAAAACAAATCCAGCTGCTCCTTGTGTTTTCCCAGGATGAGGGATTAGAGGGTGTTAGTGGTGGTAGATAATTAGGCACACTATTCAGATGCAGTAGTAAAAAATGCTTACGTTTCTTTACTAAGGGATTCCTCTGAAGAAAAAGCAAACCACCTATTTAAAAAAGAACATCTCCTGTATAAGGATATGGAAGTGTAATAACATTGTTTCACTTGGAAAATTAGGTGGTAATATCAAGAATTCTGTGATAGATTAAACAACAATTACACTATACTGTAAGACAGAATATAAATGTGCTTTGATAAGGGTACAGTGTGCTAAGAAGGGAGATATCATATCCGGTTGAAGAGATGAGAAAGGTTTCAAGGCTTCATGTTGGCATTTGAAAAGAACAACGATTTAATGAATATCACCCATAGAGATGTACATATCCCTGGGTGCACTGAGAAAAAGTACCCTAGAATTGGGAAAATTTATGAACTTTTTTTTTTTCCTGTATATACCTTGATCGTAAATAGGGAAGTTGTCCGGGTGCAGTGGCTCACGCCTGTAATCCCAACACTTTGGAGGCTGAGGCAGACAGATCACTTGATCAGCATTTCAAGACCAGCCTGGGCAACATGGTCTCTACTAAAAATACAAAAATTAGCTGGGCATGGTGGCATACAACTGTGATCCCAGCTACTTGGGAGGCTGAGGCAGGAGAATTGCATGAACCTGGGAGGTGGAGGTTGCAGTGAGCCGAGATAGCACCACTGCACTCTAGCCTGGGTGACAGAAGACTCCGAAAAAAAAAGAAAAAAAAAGGAAAGTCAAAGGAAAAAGCCAGACTGAGGATGAGCAAAAGGTGCTAAATTAATGTGTACTTGTAAATGATGTTGGTACATCCAAATGGGGATGATGAGGAAGCAGATGGAGAGGTTCACCCGGAGCCTAGGAGAAAGGCCAGGGCTCTTGCTCTCGGTTTGGGAGTCCCAGACATAAAGATGCTACATTCTACCCCTTGCCAAAGCTTTAGAAAGGAATATCATTGAGGAAAGAGGATAGCGAGTAAAAAGCCAAGGACCAAGGTGTGAGGCTCAGTGATCGCTCCCATTTGAAGGGCGGAAGGAAGAAGAAGACTGTGTGAAGGAGACAGAAAAGGTGCCATCTGTAGGTTCTGAGCAAGACAAAATAATAGAAGAGGTGGAAGAGAGAATGCGGAGGGTGCATATTTACAAAAGAAAGGAGAAGACACTATGAGAGTGAGGAGTCACTGATATCAAATGCGGTTTAGAGGTCAAGGAGAATGAAGTCATCTTCCTGGGTGATTGGGTCGTTACTGATCTTGCAGTATCTGATTGGAGTAGATCCATTGCCATGGGATGATAAATATAGACGTCAGAGGACAGGTTAAGTAATGAGGCAGATGCAGTTCATAAAGAATTAAAAAAGAGTATCAGGAAAAGGAAAGGAGGAAAATCAAATGGTCATGACACCTTAAGGGGATTCTCTGAAAAAAAATGCCCAGCAAATATGCACTCTCTACAATGAGTTAATATCATGGACCTATGGACGAAATTGTTTTTAATTTGAAAATATTTAATTGACAAATAAAGGTCATATACATTCAAGCTGAACAATATGATGATTTGATATGTGTACACATTGTGTAATGATTATCACAATCAAATTAATACATTCGTCATCACCGATGCTGTACATTCAATGCCCCAAACTTGTTCATCCTATAACTGAAAGTTTGTACCCGTGTAGATCAAATTGAAATGCAACTGAATCCATTTGAGAAGATTGCCCTAGAGTTGCCTCTGAACAAATCTGGCTTTCTTTGTCAGAACTGTTCGTTTGCTTCTTTGCCAAGCACTAAGTAGAGTTTAATGTGAGAAATAGTGCCCGAGTAGAAATCTATCATTCTCAGATGCACTTTCTTTTTAAGCCATGCTTTAAAATCCTGTCACTGGCTTTGATGGTCTATTAATATGCCAAGTACAGATATGTTTTGACCTAAGTTTCTTCAATTTGAACTTCAGCCTAAAATAACCTGGATGAAAAACAAAGTTGCTATTGTGGATGACCCAAGATACAGGATGTTCAGCAACCAGGGAGTCTGTACCCTGGAAATTCGCAAGCCCAGCCCCTATGATGGAGGCACTTACTGCTGCAAAGCAGTCAATGACCTTGGGACAGTGGAGATTGAATGCAAACTGGAGGTGAAAGGTATGACATCCAATATCTCATGTATAGACTAAAGTTAAAGAAAATCATTGAATTATTGTTCTTAATGCTTATTGTTCTTAATCCAAATTGTTTGCCAAAACGCTGCAGCGAGGGTGGGAGAGGGTGGTGAGGGCGAGGGAAGCAGGGAGGGAATTCAGGGAGAGAAGGCAGTTTTACATCCTACATTCACTTCACTTTATTTGTGGAAGGTTATTTGATTATTTAAGTCAACTTATTTTTGTCTTATGTGGTTTGCGCTAAGGGACTGTTAATTTCAGTGGAATGTTAGTATGTGTACACCATGGTAAGAATGAAAGGGGCTATCACTTTGGTGACATCATTCATCTATAAATAGAAGCCTAGTGTGAAAATCCATCTATTGAAATGGCAATTGAGGAATCTGCACTATTTTTAATTAGTTTACTATTTTGTTAAGTTTATTATTTTCTGATATTTATAGAAATAGTTTTGCTAATTAAGTGTTTGATATTATACATATAGAATATAGTATATACATATTATAACAGGTTGCTTTTCAAATCTCTAACTAGAGAACTTCCATTTATAGGTATACATTTCATTTATACTAGTTTTCAAAGTGTGGCAACTAATGTAAACCAAGAAAACACATAAGGATTTATGTGGTTGAAAAGCATAACCTGCCATCTTAATCAATTTTCATATTAATCAACTACCATTTTTATACTGACATTTTTCTTTATGAGCAGAACCTACTTTGGGACACCATGAAAAACCCTTCAAAGAGTCACCGTTATGAGATAATAGGTGACATGATCCTAGTGTGTTTTCTCTCATTCTTAAGTGTATTATATTGCCATTCTGTAATAACTAAAATCTTTCTTTTTCCAATCTCTCTATAATGAAGAAATTATGACCTAAAACTCAGAAAGTAAATATCTATTTTAGAAAATCATAGTAAATGCTTGGGTATTTATGTTTTTTAAAAAAGAGTCTTTTAGCCAGGCGTGGTGGCTCATACCTGTAATCCCAGCACTTTGGGAGGCTGAGGCGGGCGGATCACGAGGTCAGGAGTTCGAGACCAGCCTGACCAACATGGTGAAACCCCGTCTCTACTGAAAATACAAAAATTAGCCAGGCGTGGTGGCACACGCCTGTAATCCCAACTACTCGGGAGGCTGAGGCAGGAGAATGGCTTGAACCCAGGAGGTGGAGGTTGCAGCAAGCCAAGATCACGCCAGTGCACTCCAACCTGAGTGACAGAGCGAGACTTCGTCTCAAAAAAAAAAAAAAGAGTCTTTTAGTGCTAAATCTAATATAAATGTGATAGAGAAACTTCTTGAACAAAATAACTTTTCATATATATATGTATACACACACATATAAATACACACACACACACACACACACACATATATATATATATATATTTTGAGACAAGGTCTCACTCTGTCACCCAGGCTGAAGTGCAAGGGTGCAATCTCAGCTCACTGCAACCTCTGCCTCCTGGGTTCAAGCAATTCTCGTGCCTCAGCCTCTTGAGTAGCCGGGATTACAGGCATGCACCACCACACCTGGCTAATTTTTATATCTTCAGTAAAGACGGGATTTCGCCATGTTGGCCAGGCTGGTCTCAAACTCCTGACCTCAAGCAGTCCATCCGCCTTGGCCTCCCGAAGTTCTGGGATTATAGACGTGAGCCACTGCACCCAGCCGCTTTCCTCTTATAACTTTTTAAAGCTGTATTTTTTCTTTTATGATTCATAATTGAGTGAAAGGAAAAAGATTTGATTTTTTTCTCACAAATATAAGGCATGTAATATTCTTAGAAAATTTCAAGCCTTACTATTGAGATAATCCTTACGAATTTAAACATTTTTAGCTCCTTTATTGGCTTTAAATGATTATTAAGGTCATAATTGCAAATCATCTGGTTTCTTAACTGCTAGCCTTATTAGTTCCAAAGTATTGTTGATGCTTTTGTTTCAATATCCCCCCAAAAAACAAAAACTAAAAAAAAAAACAGTACCACTTATTTATGCTCTGAAACTAGCTGAATGTTGTTAATGATATAAAATGATGCTTTAACAAATGGAACAATATTTGAGGCCCTCCTTAAAAGTGAATAGTATTATACATATACATGATATAGTCTTTTTAGTGAAAATATAGTAAATGGTACGGTAATTAAATTTGATAAAAAGAATAATGTATTCTAGTACATAAGTTCATAATAAAGTATCAACTGTGATATATTGGTAAAAGTTTTTGGTCCTAAAAGTAACTGAAATTGTTTATCATCAGATTGTTATCTGATAATAGGTAACTTGAATCAAGTTAAGTTGTGAAAAAAGGTAAGAATGTCAACTGAGAATAAATAAATACTGGTACAAATATTCTGATTCTGCAGTGATATATCAAGGAGTAGATACCCCTGGACAACCAGTCTTCCTGGAGGGGCAGCAACAGGTTTAAAAAGTTTATATCCCACTGGATATTCTACTTTCCGTTCCATTCCTCTTACATGAAAATGCACCTTGCATGTAAAGCTTGACTTTCTCATTTGCTTTTAATTGTACCTCTTAGCAGCTCATGGCATACAGTGTTTATGCCATGAACAAGGAAGGCCAAATTATTCAAGGATATTAAGTAATGTAGAAACTAAGTTTTGTCAGAAAACTACGTACCTTACCACATGTCTCCATGAATAAAGCCAGAAAGCTACGTTTGAAGATGATCTCGTTTTATATAACAAGACTATCAAAACTTAGGAATCAATATTTCTTTATTATTTTCATTTTTTAACTGTAGAAGTACTTTTTAAAAGATAGTTTACAGCATAGTTTCCTTACATTCATGATGCAATTCAGAGAACTGAACATTTTAAACATTTTTTTTTAATGTTCCGAGCATTTTTTATGGAAAGAGGATAAAAAAATATTTCCAATATTTAAAGGCCGGGCGTGATGGCTCTCGCCTATAATCCCAGCACTTTGGGAGGCCGAGGTAGGTGGATCGCTTGATCCCAGGAGTCCAAGATCAGATTGGGCAACATGGCAAACTCCCATCTCTACAAAAAGTACAAAACTTAGCCAGGTGTGGTGGCGCAAGCCTGTAGTCCTAGCTACTTGGAGAGCTGAGGCAGGAGGATTGCTTGAATGTGGGAGGTCGAGGAGGCTTCAGTGAGCCGAGATCTCCAGCTTAGGTGACAAAGTGAGAATTTGTCTCAAAAAAATAACAAATAAAAAAAATAAATTGGGAAACTTACATATTTAAAATATTCCCATTACAAATTCGCCAGTAGAATATCTGTAACCCATCTATCTGTTGAAGATTCTGGACATTTTCATGGGGACTCAAATTATTTCACATGTTTATGAACTTAAAAGGAAAGAAAATTCTAGGCTCTATTATAAAATGTATCAAGCAATAAATGAGTACTATCATATACATGTGATTTGCCCCCATTTGGAATTGCAAATTAAGAGTTATTTGCAGCTGGGTATGCAACTTGATTAAAACCCTGATGATGTAGATCTATGCCTGAGTTTACAATATTTGTTTTGTGAATTTCCAAAGATAATATCAGCTTTCAAAAGAGAAAAAAAGTAAGGTTCTTTCTTGAAAGCTTTGTAGATTGTATACAGAAGAGCTTTGTAACATAAGATTAAGTTTTGTGTCTATTTAGATCAGTCATATATATTCCATTCAGAGTACAATATTATAGAATACACTAGTCTAATATTTGTACTTGATAATTTTGCCTTTTAGAATTTCAACATATATATATGTACACTAACACTTTGTCCATTGTCTATGTTTTTCTTTTGTTGAAAAACACGATATATATATGTTGTAGGGTTTTGGTTTTTGTATTTGTTTTAAGCTAATGGTTTGGAAGCTCTTACCATAGATATTCACTATACAATCGGATTGGCTTTGCCACCTATTCAGGCAAAGTAGTTGTGCATATTAATAAATGTTTTACATATTAATGATCCTTTTGACGTGACTGGATCCCCACCCTTCATTTCATGTGCTTCTATTTTCCTACATCTTTTACATGACTAAGGATTAATGAAATCACCTCATCATAATCATGACCATAATTTCATCCAACAAGTACTCAACTTTGGTGTTAGCACTTTATTAATGCTTACGACTTCTCTCTCTCTCCCTCTTTCTCTTTTCCTTAGTCGTTGCACAATAAGGATTTTTGAATGTATAATATCATCTAAGGTAAGCTTTCATATGGTTTTGGCATATGAAGCTTATGACTGTCATAAGCCATACCAAGCCTGTGGAGTATGGCATGATTTTCATTATGTAATCCAATGAAAATAGACTTATTTTAAATCGCTAACTTAGTAGTTTTAATTTGTAGTTCACTATCTTGAAATTAACAGCTAGTACTTATCCATCACAGCAGTCTCCTGTTGACATGAAGCAAGTTGTTGAATGCAGTAGAGCATGAATCAAAGCATTTAATGTAGACAAAAACGGGTGATACCCAAGCATTCTGAATTATTTGCATCAAGGAATGGACATGTACATAAGTGGCATCATTTCTACCAATATGTGACTTGAGTTGTTTTTTTAAAAAAAGGAGAATGACTTTCTCAAATTTGCATTAAAGAAGTTTTTAAGAATGTTCAAATGGCATGCTGCTTTGTCTGGACGTGAATTTATTAGCAAGTAGTGAAGCACTTCACTAAAGGACCATGAATTTTTGTGGTTTCATGGATTCTCTCTTGAAGGGTACTTTTATTTTTTTGATAGAAATCAGAAACTCAGAAGGTAGGTATGAAATATTGGTTGGTGTTTCTCACACCTTCAGAAAGTATTGGACCGGTCTTATCATTATAACTTTAACAAAATATTTCCAATTTTTGTGCTTTTGAAGTGCATAAATGACCAAAGTTAAAGGGGGTAGTTGATATATTTTCCAATGTGTTCGAATTGAAACTCTCTGTGCCTAATTACAAACAACATTAACAAACTGGAAGCAGATCTTCCCGCTGATCCATAAGATGGTGTGCATGTATTCTGCTGTTCAGTCGGAACATTTAAATCATCTATGAGGAATCACAAAACTTCTCAAAGAGCAATAAATACTTTCCAACCACTTGGGAATTTAAATGAAGATTGAACAATAGTAGGGGAAAAACGGCTATGGTTCTGCTGGGAACTTGCTTTTCCTTCTAGATGCCAAGTGCTTTAAATTCTAAATGTACTAAAACTAGGAGAAGATTTCCAAGTAGAGACTGAATGAATCTTTGTAACTAATGGGAACATAATTAGTCACATTTCCAGGCAGCTAGTCAAGAAGTATTGTTTCAGCGATTTTTCACGTAGATGGTTTTGATTTATCTCTTTTCCTTTTGGTCCTCCCTAGGTGGACTCTCCTTCTGCAGGCTCCTCTTGCAAGGCGTACCTCCAAACATAATTGATTCATATCTGCGAGACGTACACTCAAGCAATCCTGAGGAATACTGAGGGCCTGGCCACTGCCTCTCTGCACTCTGCTGCTTTGAAATCTGGTTGAAATGAGAAAAAGCATTTTCTGTTTTTCCACCAGGCCCCCAAGTGTGGTCTTTTTCTTTCCTCCTAATGTTGAAGAGAAAAAAAAAAAATTGCCCAGATTGCTTAATTAAAAATTGCAAACAAAATCTCATTTGAAGTCAGCACTTTGGTCATTATTATCTCTGCTCACTGTATTATACTTTACAAAAATGCAAGCCATAGAATCAGCAAAAGCAGTTATTTTAAATAGTGGGCTATAAATGCTTTTTTTTCCTCTCAGAGTAAAGAACATGACACAATACACCACGATTGGACCTTGAAAACCCATCTTTCTCTTGATCTAATAGATTTTTCTAACTAAAGCAGAGTTGTTTATTTCATACAGCCCTGCTTAACACCAGGATCTGTGCCCTGTTTTCTTATTTGAATGCAATGAAACATTTTTAAAAGTCTAACTTTCAAACAAATTTCCTCAGAAGGGAAAATGAATTCAGTCAATGGTACAACAAATCTGAAGTGTTTGTGATGAAATGATACAATATTCACTTATGTCTTTGGGGTTGTGTGCCTAGACACAGAACTGAGACTAAAGGCTGGGAGCCAGCATGCCCCTGAACCCAGGTCTGCCCTCCCTGTGGCTCTAGCAAGGCATCTTGGCCAACTCTGCCAGAGCTTCTGCCAAAACAGCTAGTCATAGTGACAGAGGGCTGTTGCAGACAACAGACCTATTACAGAGTTAGGGTTTGCTAACGGTATCCATTCAATTTGATGGAAACCTTTATAAAAAAAATCTAGCAGCTGCGAAACATTTATACTAACCCATAATCTTTTCCACAATTTCCCTTACTCTTCCTGATACAAAGTTTCAGTTAAGGGAGTAGAATCGAACTGTAAGGTACCACACCATTACTGTTTATTCCCTTGCCTCCCTTCTGTTTTTCTTTTCGGTCTTTTGTTGCAGGGGCTAAATATGTTGTCACTTGTTGGTGGGCCCATGGCTTCTTTGGATGACATTTTAAACATATCTGCTCTGCTTTCTTTCCAGATTTTAGCTGAGAAGTTCTATGGTCGTCATGGATCTGGGTTGATGTTGGGCTCGTAAAGGGAAGGGTGAATGATTCAGTTCATTGCAATACATTTGAGAACAAGAGAAAGTCTAGTTTATGTCCAAACTATGGTGGCTCTATACATCTCTTTTGGAGTTGGTTGGTGATGTTGCCTTACTGGTTGTTAATGACATTGGCTATCACCCCTGCTCCTATGCTCCCAACAACTCCAGAATAATATTGTGTGCAATCCCTGTGTAAATACCTATTTTAATCAAGAAAGCTACATGCACAGTATTGGCTAAGGTATTTTACATAAAGGAAGTCTGGCTCAACTGTAAAGACATGAAGGCCCTATGTCTATATACAAACCAAAGAAATGACAATGTGGCAAATCTAATCAACATGGTCCCTGCAGCCCAGCTGCTGGGTCTTAGCCATAGTGCAGCAGCTGAACTGGCTACTTAACTCAAATATGCACTGAGCAGTTTTGCGAAGACATTGGCCAAGCTGGTTAGGCTGCTTATACGTGTATGGTTTTACATAGCCTAAAAGAGACTGTAAAACCCCCCTGCTGAATTTTGATTCCTCACTTATGACTTAGGCTCTTTAATTATATTTTATATTAGATAATGTTACTTTTCTACATATAATCTTTCCTTATATTAAGGGTACACATACACTGCAAAGTTCTAATAAGGAAGAAAAAGTCTATTGCGAAACTGCAAAGAGCAAAAAATATCAGAAGCTGTTATTACTATTGGTTTTTCTATAATTCTGTTTAAATTTCACTGTATTAAAAAATTACATATCACAGGAATTTACCAAAAATTCTTTTGGGAAACTAAACATTCATGAAAAATTTTAGGCTGGACACAGTGGCTCAGATGCCTGTAATCCCAGTAGTTTTAGAGGCCGAGGTGGGCAGATCACTTGAGGCTGGGAGTTCAAGCCAGCCTATGCAGCATGGTGAAACCTTGTCTCCACTAAAAATACAAAAATTAGTTGGACGTGGTGGCACACACCTGTAGTCCCAGCTACTTGGGAAGCTGAGGCACAAGAATAGCTTGAACCTGGGAGGTAGAGGTTGCAGTGAGCCGAGATTGCACCACTGTACTCCAGCCTGGGCAACAAAGTGAGACCCTGTCTCAAAAAAAAATTTTTTTTTAAGGCTCACGTTTCTTTCTTTACCTTAAAAGAAGGCTTAATGGATGTTCTCGTCTAAATTAATATCAAAGTAGAAAAAAATAATTCTAAGAGACATTGGAACAAGGTAATATGCCCTTAACTATTCATTTTTAGAATAAATTCTGAAACACTATTCAGCTCAACAAATGAGTTATTGAATGTCTGATATCTGCATGGCACTGTAATGAATTCAGCTTGCAACTTGATAAATAAGGTACTTCAGGCTGGGCGTGGTGGCTCACGTCTGTAATCCCAGCACTTTGGGAGGCCAAGGCAGGCAGATCACTTGAGTGCAGGAGTTCAAGACTAGCCTGGGCAAGACAGCAAAACCCCATCTCTACAAAAAATTATCCAGGTGCGATAGCATGCACTTGTAGTCTCAGCTACTCAGAAGGCTGATACATGAGAATCGCTTGAACCCAGGAGGTGGAGATTGCAGTGAGCTGAGATCGCACCTCTGTACTGCCAGCCTGGGCAACAGAGCCAGATCCTATCTTAAAAAAAAAAAAAAAAAAAAAAAGAGGTACTTCATGCCTTCAAGGAATTTATAATGTATAAGACTAGTACACAGAGGGGAACATATAAACACGGCAGGATGCAGGTATAAGAGAGGATGACAACAATGCAGAAGCTGGATAATGTGGTTTATGTATTCGTTATTGTCAATGTATGTATCATACTAGGATGGAGTACAGGACTTACCATATTACTTAGCTTTTCTAAATCAGATTAAATGTAACTCTGAGCTCTCCACTAGCTAGGGAGATTGAGAAATTCTCTGTCGTGTTTAGGGATTCAGATTCCAGAGTCAACAGGAATCTTTCTTGGTGCCCAGAAAATGGAGAGAAGGAAAGGCCTCTGGTCTTCAATCTACACTGGTGCCTGCAGAGATGCCTGTCATTGTATTACACTTTATAAAAAAGTCACCCATAGAATAAGCAAAAGCAGTTCTTTTAGTTTAATGGTCAAACCCGGTATGGTTCACTCAAGGACAGGTGACTCTGAAACATCCCTGACAAGCGTGGACCTGGGGTCTTTCAGTCTTGGAGGCTACAACTTGGCTATTATGTTAGGGTTCTTCAGAGGAACAACCAATAGGAGAGGAAGGAAAGAAGAGGTATGGAAGGAAGGAAAGGGGAGGCAGGGAATGGAAAGAAAAAGGGAAAAGAGGAAAGAAAAAGCATGAAAAATCTAGAAAGAGATTAATTATAAGGTATTCATCATGGAATTATGGAGACTGAGAAAGCCCATGATTTGCTGCCCACAGAACCTAGGAAGGCTGGAGGTGTAGTTGAAGCCTGAGAGCCAGAGAGCTCAAAGTGGTGCCTCCACCCAAACCTCCTAAGACTGTGTGCTTCAGTCCCTCATTACTCAGCTGACCACCTGGGAGTTTCTTAGAAATGAAAACTTTCCGCCGGGTATGGCGGCTCACCCCTGTAATCCCAGCACTTTGGGAGGCCGAGGGAGGCAGATCACCTGAGGTAAGGAGTTCAAGACCAGCCTGGCCAAAATGGGGAAACCCCGTCTCTACTAAAAATACAAAAATTAGCCAGGCGTGGTGGCGCATGCCTGTAATCCCAGCTACTCAGGAGGCTGAGGGAGGAGATTCACTTGAACCTGGAGGCGGAGTTTGCAGTGAGCCAAGATCACACCACTGCACTCCAGCTTGGGCATTTTTAGAGAGGAGAGCAAAGGTTTTAATCAATCTATTATTGAATACTATCTACCCATGTATTTTGTAAAGTACCAGAGTTCCATAAAATTTAGACTTCAGAGTCTCAAAGTACAAAACTATAAAAATATAAAACCCAAGCAAGTAAAGCAAGTATTATACCATAAAACTATGCTTATCACAAATACTCCAGCCTGTGGATCTAAAGTTCAGAATTCTAAACACTCACACAGGTAGCTTGATGCCCTGATGATAAAATTCTACTGCAACGCAAGCCTAGCCAGGTGATTTTTTTTTTTTTTTTTTTGAGACAGGGTCTCACTCTGTTGCCCACGCTGGAGTGTAATGGTATGATCTGGGCTCACTGTATCCTCCGCCTCCCGGGTTCAAGCAATTCTCCTGCCTCTGCCTCCTGAGTAGCTGGGATTGCAGGCACATGCCACCACACATGGCTAATTTTTGTTTTTTTAGTAGAGACTGGGCTTCACCGTTTTGGCCAGGCTAGTCTCAAACTCCTGGCCTCAAGTGATTTGCCTGCCTCAGCCTCCCAAAGTGCTGGGATTACAGGCATGAGCCACTGCGCCCGGCCTCTAGCCACGTGATTTCTTATTGCAACCCACTCTTTCTTCCAAACCAGGGAAAGTCCATGGGCTTCTAACTGGTGGTTTCACACACAACAGTGCCTAATCTGCCTATATGACACAATTTAATATTTTGTGGAAAGTTGGCCTAGAGATTGAGGATGTTAAGGAAGATTTGAAATATGAGTGAAAGTGACACAAAAGAACTAGTAGTAAAACCGAGATCCTAAATCAAGATGTTCTTTCTCCTTTGGAAAAGGAATTCAATTTAGTTAAATCATCAAATAAACATTTATACATCCCTGTTGTGCTATGGAAATGTAAGATGTTACCATAGGAGGAGGCTGTGTGAAGGGTATACAAGGGATTCTTTGTATTATTTTTGCAACTTCCTGTGTGTCTGTGGTCATTTTAAAGTATACATATATTTTTAATTATGGATGTTTACTGGATGCCAGGCATTGAGGAGCACACTCAGTGCAGGGTTGATCTGACACTCTATGACCTGGGCAGGGAGGCTGATCAATACACAAATAACTGAACAAAGATAGCCTGCATTACAAGCTACAAAGTGCTCTGTTGTGTGGGAGTAAGAGGGATCAAACTGGAAGAATCTGGGAGTTCATTTTTGAGAAGGTGGAATTTAAGCTGAGTCTTGAGTGATGGGCAATGTGACAGGAATAATAAGGGATTCCCAACAGGGAACAAGTGAGAGTGGGTTTAGCGACAGCTGCCCAACAGGGAACAAGTGAGAGTGGGTTTGGGGGCAGCCAGTGGGCCCACGCAGCTGGAGCATGAGACTTAGGGAGAAGAATGGGGGAAGAGATATTAGGGAGGTAAGACTAGTAGGGTAGACGGGGCCCTCAAATGCCATGTGAGGGAGGCTGGACTTTATCAAAGGCTTCTGAACATGGGAATATATTATTAGTTTTAGTAAATTTAGTATAATAACTTTTTTCATAATATTTAGAATAGACTGGAATGGCACAAAACCAACATGATATATAGAAACTGGACTGTTCCATATTGACAAAAGTACCCACCAAAGTCCTATATTTAATACACGTAAGTTATTAGGTGGCATTTTGCAGTCATTGGGAACATAAGCTCTGAAATCAGACTACATGAGCTTGAATCCACCATACTAGCTGTGAGCCATGGGTAAGTTTCTGAACTTCACTGTGCTTCAATTTCCTCGTCCGTAAAATGGGGATAACAATGGTCTATTTCACAGAGTTTTTTTGAGGAGTAACTGAAATAACTCCTGATGTTTAGAACAGTGCTTGGCATAGGATAGAAACTCATAAATGTGAGCTACCATGTTAATTCAAGAAAAAAGGGAAACATTGTGTGTATCACTATATGTAATAAACCATGAAAATGGAGGGGAGTCATGATGCAAGAAATAAAATAGTAGAAAATCTCTAATATACTTTTTTGACTTTAGAGTATGTTAGGGTGGGGTAAGGTAGAAGAAATAAATATGCCTTAGTATGTCTTGAATTAATTTGAAATTTCCAAAAATTCAACAAAGAAGCACAGGGAAAAATCAATTTAGAGCATGATGAGTAGTTTAAAAATGGTTTTTATATTTATTGCTTTCACTATTTTTAAATTATGACATTTCATATTTGCAAAATATATAACCATGCCATCTACATCTGTGTAGATATATAATTATATAGATGGCATAAATAATAGTAAAATGAACATGTTACTACTACTCAGTTTAAAAACTGTGATTGAGGCAGCTTGATGGCCCCCTGCAATACCCACTCTCTCACTTTTCAATAATAATAGAAATGTTTTGGCCGGTTGTGGTGGCTCACACCTGTAGTCCCAGCACTTTAGGAGGCCAAGGCAGGAGGATCATTTGGGGTCAGGCATTCGAGACCAGCCTGGCCAACATGGTGAAACCCCATCTCTACTAAAAATACAAAAATTAGCTGGCTATGGTGGCGCATGCCTGTAGTCTCAGCTACTCAGGAGGCTTAAGCAGGTGAATCTCTTGAACCTCGGAAGAGGTTGCAGTGAGCTCAGATTGCGCCACTGCACTCCAGCCTGGGCGATAGAGCAAGACTTTGTCTCTAAATAAATAAATAAATAAACAAATAAATAAAAGGACTTTTAGCTGGGCAGGTGGCTGGCTGTCTAAAGATTGCATTTGCAGGCTCTTTTACAGTTTGGCATAGCAACCATGTGGCCAGGTTCTGGCCAGTGGGATAAGAGCAGAAGTGATATGTGCAACCTTTGATCATGGCCTTCAGAAGAAAGGAGCATAGTAGCCCTTCTCTTTTTCCCCTTTCAATTGGTTGGGAGTCTTGGTCAGTCATTTTTGGTCACAAGGACAAGGGCAACATCCTAAGGCAGACTAATAAAACGGAAGAAGACTGTGTCTCTGACACCATCGAGCTGCCATGTAGCCCTACCATGCCTACCCAGACATCGATGTTGGAAAAATAAACTTCTATTCCATTTAGGCTGCTATAGTTTGCTTAGCTGTACTCTAAAAATTTACCAATACCTTTGAAACTTGCCTACAATTGCATTTCCCTTCTTTCTATCAGAAGTAACCACTATCAGGATTGTACTTATAATTCTTTCCCTTTTCTTCATAACTTTGCCACATGGGAGCTGCAAAGTACAGTTGCATGTTTTTGAAGTTTATATAAGTAAAATAATACTGTGTGTATTTTGCCTATGACCTGCTGTTATGGACGGAATGGTATCCTGCCCCCCCTTCCACCCCCAATTCATATGTTGAAGCCCTAATCCTCTACAATGTGATGGTATTTGGAGATGGAGCCTTTAGGATACTGGATATCATGAGGGTGGGGCCTTTATGATGGGATTAGTGCCTTTATAAGGACTTTATAAGGAGACACCAGAGAGCTTCCTCTCTTTCTCTCTCTGTCTGCCATGTGAGGACATAGAAAGTGGCCATCTGCAAGCCAGGAAGAGAGTCCTCACTAAGAAACACACTTTGACTTTGGACTTCCCAACCTCCAGAACTGTGAGAAAGAAATTCCTGTTGTCTAAGCTATTCAGTCTATGGCATTTTGTTATGACAATCCAAGCTGACTAATACATCTGCTTTTCTTTTCACTCAACATATGCTTGTGCAATTCATTCATGTTCATAAGTGCACCCTGGAACATTACCATGTTCCAGGGCTTCTCCTATAGAAACTGAACATAGCCCAGTTGAGTATTTTATTTTGATTAATTTTTAGGAGTTCTTTACATAATCTGGGTACTATTCATTGTGGGTTTTGAGGAAAATACCTTTTCCCAGTTTATGGCTTGTCTTTTCATTCTCTTGATGATGTCTTTCGATGAACATTAAAAATTATCTTTAATAGAGTGAAATCTGCTAATCTGGAAAAGGATTTTTTCCTTGGACTGTTCATGGCATTGGTAAATTAAAAAGTAGGTACTGTCAAGTTCACTGCACATAAACTGGCATTGTTAAAAGTGGATCTCCATCATTCCATTTCCTTTCCTGCATTTGTCAGCATTGTTTTACCCATTAAAGATGAGGAGGTACACATTCCTAAAACATAGACTCTTGGTCTGTAGACACACTCATTGCTCTAAGGTAGTGGTTGCCACTTTTTTCCTTAAAGGGCCTAGGAGGACATATTCCAGGCTTTGCCGGCCATATGGTCTCTGTCACAACTGAATTCAGCTGCCCTTGTAGCATGAAGGCAGCCAAACAATATGTAAGGAATAAACATGACTTTACTTGTGGCACTGAACTTTGAATTTCATGTAACTTCACATCACAAAATAGTATTCTTTGATTTTTTCCAATCATTTAAAACTGTCAAAACCATTCTTGGCTGGAGGACTGTAGGAAAACAGGTGGTGGGCTGGGTCTGGCCCACAGGCAGCAGTTTGTGGACCCCTGTGCCAAGTGTTTGACTAAGCCGGTGAGGCAAACTGCACTCGCTGATAGAGGCTGCACCACACAAGTGTCTTGGAAGCAATTTCTGGTTTGTCCTAGGCCTTAGAGAGTGCGTGTCGATCAGAACCATGAAGTGAAGAGCAAAGCAAGAGACAGGCCTGTCTCAGGTTGTGCAACAGAACATGTTTATGACAGATGTCCCCTGTCCAAGTGAGCGCACTGTGAGATAAGGGGCCGGTGACCTACCAATGCGTGTGGCAAGCCAGCCTGTTCCCCCGTGCAGGGGGAGGACACTCCTGGGTTCCTGACCTCTATTCCAGGGAAAAGCATGTGTAAAAATATCCACCCTTGTTGGTATCGAATGCGCTGAAGAAAATAGGTATTGGGATTTCAGCCATTCGGTCTCCTTCTTAGTGTTTCTCAGCCTTGATTTTCAGTTTCAAAACCTTGGTCTCTGAACCCGCAGTGAGGGGTTTCTAGGGCGAATACATGGCAGGGCCGCCTTCCTCCGTGCAGAAAGGGAGAATCGTGCTTATGTGTTTTACCAAGCGGGACAGATGGGGTCGTCACCCCGGTGACCCCAGACCTGCAGAACTGTGTTCTCACACGAAAACCCCCAGGCTCTGCAGGCAGCGCGGTCCTGCAGCGGTTGACACTGGGCGACAGTAGTCGTGCTCCCACCCCTAGGAGAGAAACCGGCTAGGTCGCGGTGCAGCCCGCGAGGAGACGACCTCAGGGCGTAATCGGACGCCGTGGGTTAAGAAATCAGACCTCAGGCGCAGTGCAGCCGGCCCCTGGGAAGTCAGGGACCTGGATCGCCAATAACAGGCTGCCGTTGGCGGGCGCCGAGGGTGACCCGCGAGCGCCGCGACC